TTCAAAAGTCGAATAATCTCACGCATTTTATTTGTAATTTTTTCATAGTACACCAATATGTGTCTTAATAGATTAAACACTTAACATTAACATTATGATTACATAATTATGCCATCCAATTACCGGTAGTCCAAAGGATTTTGGGCATGATCCCCAGTGTTGTATTTGGAATGTTAATTTGATTTCAAACAAATTTGCTCAGGTGGTTTCACATCATAGACCTATTCACCAGACTGACACATGGATATTGTATGGTTTATAATCGACCTGAAAAGCATACAGAACAACAGATGGTGCATATAGACATGTGTTTATGGACAATTGTAAACTGTCTATGGTACGTTTCATAAATGTACTGTTTCCACTATGTCACGGCAAGTGCACCAACAAAACAGAGTAACACTAATACTAATATGTCCAATATGAAAGCCACTGATAAATCATATCTTGTTATCACCATTATCTTTCTTTGTAAACATCTTCTTTATACGTTGCCATAGAAACAATTTTGAATCATTGCCACGGCGACGCAGGCGTGTTGCTACATTAGCTGCTGTCATATGTATACTGTTTTTAAACATTTCCCATCTAGGTGGCTTTGTCCAAATTCCCTTGCCTTTCCTTTCTGCAGAAATCTCAGCCTTTATAAGTTTTTGTGATAGTTTTAAATATCTTTTGTGTTTAGTAATTCCTTCAATAGGAGTTGCCTTCCCAAGTCCTTCTTTAACAATTGCTTCATTAATGTTGATTCTTCTAAACCAGCCCTGTGAGAAAACAGAATCAAACAGTGCTACAATAATAGGAATACCAATCAGTATAAAATTAGATGATTAATTTTAAAATATGGCCACTGATATAAATCATCTCTAACTCCAGGTGACCTCCAGATTACCTATGCAAATCACATTCAAATCTCATACAATCACTTCCCAGTCATTACAAGTGTTACAACCCTTTCTTGAGTGACATGGCCTTTGAGTGGTTGAGAAATCCTATCCGAGATGAGCTCCCAAAATATGATTTACATAATTAGATCAGATGTAGTTAGAAGGCGATTCATACCATCGACCATCATATTAAAAACAAGAAGACCATTAATGTTAGCAGTAAATCAAACAATGCAATAAGATAACAATGTTTGAAGATAAAAAAGTCTATTGTTTAGAATAACTATACTGTATATGAATGTATGTGGACAATATTGACACCACTTACACAAATAAATTGCAAATTAATATGATCTATACAGGTACACAAGTCTACTCGGGTAAATACATGTACACACTACTCAGGATTACAAAAAACTACTAGAGAATACCTAAGACTACCCAGTTCTACAAGAATCAAGAAAAGTCTATTTATTTCTGCACAAACCTACTAGGGTCTACACAAGTCCACTAGGGTCTACACAACTTCACTGGTGCTTACACAAGTCTACTAATGTCTACACAAGTCTACTAAGGTCTACACAAGTCTACTAAGGATACACCAGACTACTAAGGTCTACACAAGTCTACTAGGGTCTAGACCTCATACCAAACCATTTTGAATTAAAGCATAAAGAACATTAAACCCTGAAAATTTATATCAGAGGTTATGTCATTGCTACTCTAAAAAGAAAACCACAGAATTATTGTATTTACCTTGCTGACTGTCACGGCACAGTCTACACTGCCCTCTGTGTTGAGTTTTAGTAAAACAAACCAGATGTGTTTCTTTTCAGCATTGAGTTGGAGAAATGGGACTGCACCTTCTAATAATTCCACACCTCCAATTTTAACAGGTAACAGACATTCTGAATCTAGAATAAAGATGGCACAAGTTAGGTTATATCACAAACGAGAAATCACATGTTGCCGATCTCCATTGGTAGTTGTTCTTCACTTTTTTGGACAAAATGTTTATTACAATCAAAATGTATAGATGCATTTCTCAACATTTTTTCTATAATTTCTGTGTTAATAATACTAGACATCATCTTGCCTGAAATTTTGGAAGAAATATGAAAAACATTATGTGATTTATTCAGTTAAAGGTAACATACGTTTACTTTGGATGTACTGGTACATCTAATATTGCCATAATGGTTCATAATCCCAGGGTGGGTACTCCACGTCAGACTTGGTACCCATGCTGAAGTATAGCTTTTTTGTGAAACTCAAAATAGATACCCTATATACATACTAAAATCATACTGTTTCCAATATGAGGTATCATGAATTCCTTTTTTAACACTTTATATGTTCAACCTTAAACATGGTATATGTATCAAATAACTAAATAACACCCCTTTTACACATTTTGTTTACTTCAGCTTGCGTACCATATTTCATTCAGAGAACCCCCCCCCCCCTTGGGTTCAAAACCCGCATTATTATTGTGTCAAACGCAAAACCATACTGAACAAAATTCTTATACATAGCCAAATCTTTATACAACCCCCAGAAATGTAAAAATTAAAGTATTGCATTTATGTCTTGTATAAATGGCAAAAGTACAAAATATGCTCTGTAATACTATACCAATATGAGACCAAAATCTCAAGTTGCTTTGTGACACGTATGCGCATCTGTAATTTGTTGCATATCCTGCCTTGTTTAAGGTGATAGCGAATCAGTCACTGTCATTGTTCATTTATATTTAGAGTATCTCTCACCTTGCTTAGTGACAGCACCCATCCATCGGAACCTCTTGACTTCAATAATAGGTATATGCTCCACATTTAAGTGTTCATTTGTAACTGATTTGACATAACCCCTCAGTCTCACATTCTTCTTAATGAATTCCTTGGGTATACCTCGGACATGGCGAAACTTGGAAAACTACATGAGAGAACTGAATATTTTATTATTTGAATCGTCATGCAATGTTTCAATAAAGTTATATGGCCTATTATAGCAAATACGAAAACAAATAGTTATCTCCGGTAGTTAGACTAGACTACTCGTACTATACATAAATTCACTTTTTATCTTCACTTGAATCATTTATTCATAATCACAATCCTATTATTCAATAGTAGATTTGTTGTTTACTGCGAGATTTCGCATAATGCCCGAAATGTATGGATTGTAAGATTTGCATATAAATAATAGATTCTTACCAGTTATTTGACTATACATATGTACTTACTGGCCGTGTACTCTTTATAATATATCCAACACCTATCAACGCGATGACTGTAGAGAGTGACTGCATACAAAAAATTGAACAAATACAAACTCATGAATTGTAATATTCCACATGTAGCTTATCAAAATTGTATAATTCTTAGTCATCAGCACAGCGAAGACCATAGCAGTTATCTACATACACATATATTCACAAAATATTTTTATTTTAACTTTTTTTATTTCCTTTTAAGGTAGTGAGACTATTATTTGTGTTAAAAATTCCGATTTTCACATTTATTTATTAATTGATGAAATGCACTATAAACTTTCATCTGACAAAGTCAACGTAACCTAGAATGTCATGTAAGTTGGTTAAAATGTGGATTTTCTGAAGGGAAGCAAGGCAGCTTCAGTAGTGTTTTCTAAAATCAACAACACATGTTTAATTTGTGTGCCTATAAGTTTCAAAGATTAACTCAAGACAAAGCAATGTTAGGATGTGTTATCAGTAGCTATCTGACACACAATGTGTGTTTCCAAACATTTGAGTGGTTTGTCTCTGCCCCTGTTTATTTCACAGATTAGTCATTTGCATATGAATGTGTCAGACACAAGGTCACACAGCCACTGAAAAAAAATCATTGATTTTAGTGTTTTCATCTGCCGTTTTATCGAACTATAGCTATCCCATTCCTTTAATTTGTTGGTTTCCAATAGCCTTACACATTTGGATGCCCCTACACATGTTAAAACAGACATTGATGGGAAAACAAATCGCTTGTGCAGATAAACAAGCTTGAAAATCTTTGCTGTGACTTCGACGGTTTCTAGGAGTTTATGTTTTTCAAAATACAAGGTCTTTAACAAAAAATAACGTATACTTATTGTCGTTGAATCAACACCAAATTTTCACAGCTTTAAGGGGACAATGAGAGGAGCTTGAATGTGTCCAGACAAACTATTTCATGGATTATTTACCAATGTGTTGTGGTTTGAGTTGGGGTCAATGCGACTAAAACAGAAATTAAAATTCAGGACACTATTTTTCAAAACACGTTGCTTGAATAAAACTGATCAGACACATTCAATTTACCAGACTATTGAACAACTAGGAAAAGTGAAAACAAAACTTATTATCACCAGCATAAAAAAAGTAATTTTTCACTTTTGATTGAGTAACGCGTCGTAGAATGAAGATACGGGCATGGCAAACACACCTTTGAAAAGCTTGAAGTCTGGCGTATCCAAAAATATATACTTTCCTGGGTCTATTTGTAGTCGTTTGGTCCCAATTAGAAGATGAAAAAAGTATGCAAATAATAGTCCCGCTACCTTAATTTAATTCAGGCAAATTTTATCTTCTATTTTGACACATTAGTGCTGTATACTTTCGTAAGTCAGTGTTTTATCAACAATTTGAAATTGCTGTAGTTTTAACAGCTCCAATCGTCATATGTTGGGATATGTTATAACCAAGAAGCTGCAGGTCCATGAGCAGAGAGGGGAAAAACAAATTGCACTGGTGATGCTTTTAGAATGCAGAGGCATTCGGGGGGACGCTTGCGTTTACGTGGCACATTGGCCCATGCAAAATTTCGTTTCGCCGTCTCTATACAACTACCCCTCATGATATCAAATGTTAGACATAGTATCAGCATGCTCGTTTTACCTTCCATGGTATCAGTCAGTTGAGTAGTAAATGTATTAGGGTTTGACTACTTCAAATCATGGAGGTGGAAGATGTGTAGCAAGAAAACTAGGCACCGAGAAAAAAATGCATACATGGTGTTGGTGCAAGAAGAACTGTTGACAAAATTCAAGAAAAACAAAAAACTACGAAAAAATGACTTACAGGTCGTTATGTGGCTCAGAATAGTCCCTGAGCTGCTGAATTAAACACCAGCAAAGATTCAATGTGCAATTAAAACGAGAGCGTACTAAACACCGCCCGGGACTATACAGGCCTTAAGTGGTTAAAACGATCTGAAACATGTACAGTTCATTAAATACATGGTGTACAGGAAATATTTTAAACTTTACCGAATGAATAAGCCTTTTGTTTTTATTGATGAAAGCCTGGCGCGCTGGGCCCAAAGACGCAAATGGCGTCCCGCAAGTTAATTACGTGAATATTGGCGTGAATATTGTATGATTGAATGTATTATTAACCCATAAGTGTATTTATGCACGTTTCTGGTCATTTTAATTACTTACAGGCCCCTATTTCGCTCGCGGGAGGTATTTAGTAATTAGTTCAGAAATATATGAACACCGTGACACACACACGCATATATATTTTTTTGTATTCACTTACCCTAAATGCTTGGATGTGATTGTCCACGAAATTAGTGGTACTCCGTAACAATATTCTGAATGACCATGGATAGTTATCGTCCACGGATGCACTGGTTGCAATATTTTGGTCTAAATTTGTAGAACTTGCATCACGCCGCCTGGGCGCCGCCATTATTATTGCGGTGAACATTGACCTCTCAGAAAACTATGCCTTTCTAGAGGGCGCTGTATATAACTCCCAACCGAAAGGATTAAGGTTCACTCAATGACTTGGCCATACACCATTTTCCGGGTTCTTTTCCAACATTTTCGACCAATTAACACTATTTCTCGATTTCTACTAGTTTTTCTTTTCTGTTTTGGATATGGAAAAATTAAGAGGGGCAATTTTTACACAAAAGTGACAAAATAATTCCGTATGATATTTTATCAAAGAAACAATTTTAGTACGATAAATCGTAAAATAAAAATATTGTTATGGCAACAATCTGGTTAAAACAAGATCCTCGTTTGAGGTTTTTTATTTTTTTGTAAAACTCTCATACTGTTCACTACTACTAAAACGAATTCTTGCAGACAAATTCTGACACAATATTGTCACTGCACTGCTGTATGCGCTAAAATAAATTTAACAAATCCCTGACTCGGATCTTATTTTAATCAGATTGAAAAGATTCGAAACACGTGCGTGTAGAGTTTATTATTACTAGATTGTTTAGTTTATTTGTATTAAGTTCCATTTTCTAATATTTTTTGTGTATTGCCCAATGCACTGAACGAACATAGAATGATTTCATTTTGAACTAGAATTTTGTTTTAAACCTCATTGGGTAATTTGGCGTTCAGATACCCCTATTCATTGAAATCGACAATCATCAAATGTGTATAACACATTACACGAGGAAATGCCACTCAAAACCTTCCACCACATCCATCAAATCTCGCTTGTTTGGACGTCATTGCAACGTTCCGACCTTTGTTTATTCTGTTGTTTCAACGCACAACTTTGAATCCCTCGATGAACGAAAAATAGTCAGAAGAAGCAGATTAAAACTTAATCTAACTATTAAAAAGTCTGGCGGCTAATATATTTATTATCTTCAACAGTGTAAATACTCCACGTATTGAAGTTTATACATGCATAATAAAAAAAGGTCTGTGGATAATCCCGAACAACTTCTATGTACAATTTTGAGTGGTTCTTTCAAGCAATACCTGTCAAACTGCTTGGTAATATTAATTGGGAAGTGATATGCGGTCGATTAAAAAGTAGGAAGCTGGGAGAAATGAGTACTGTAGTTCAAGTGATATTAGCGTATTTCTAATTTAGTTTTAACTCGTACAATATTTATTCACTCACTGTTTACTATAGCCAGAACACTGTACGAGTCTTCACTTTCAGGTTAACTTAGTTCTTCCGCCGATTTCTCGCAACCAACAACGCGATTCTTAATTTGGCATTTCGAAGAACTTAACATGAATCGTTATGGCATTTATACGCACACCACCTCGCCATGTTTCAACTTTTAAATTGTCAGTTAACAAGGTCTTTCATAGCACTTCTTTGGGATTGACGTACTACCATGAATGGGTTCAATTATCAGTGTTCACTGATGACGTCATTTGACTGGACCTCTAGAGGTGAAATGACGCCAGACATAGCGGACGTTTGTCGTCTACTTAACAACCCGTCTTTTACTCGATATTGAGGGCATTTCGCAGCACATACAAGTTGTTTTTATCGACAGAATTCATTCATAGATCTCAAATTTCATGTACAGAGTGACAAAAGCCAAACCTCTGTTCCCCTTTAAGCAAATTCGAATACAATCAAACAAAGTTTGAGGATTATCCCAAAACACCTATGCACCGAGTTTCATTGAAATCTGTTGATTCTCGCAAGATCAACTGAGAAAAGTTTAAACTTGGGCAATTATTAGGCAATTAAGTAGTTATCAATTTTTATTGAATCTGATACATGTATATCTGAAAAACAGCCAGGTAGTATTATCTACCAAGTCTGATTGAAATCTGATGAATGTTTCAAGGACAGCTGAAAACTAAAAAAATATGCAAATCAAGTAATTAACAATCATGGATTCAACCAAACACGTATGTACATGCACAATTAGTTTCATTGAAATCTGACGATTAGTTCCTCAGATATCTGTGGAACAGACACACATGTACAATATACGGAGACAGAGTAAGCTTAACATGGAGTCAATACAATATACGAAAACACAAAGACATACTGGATGACTAAAAATCCCACAATAATTCAACCAGCAAACCAGAATGTGTTTTATCAGTTTAATTACATTTAGTTCATCTCGCTATACATTGTAAATATTTGTTATTATCTTATTTTTGTTTTGCAACACTAAAAACAGTGACATGTAAACTAGTTTTGTATTCTGTTTGTTGATACTCGGTGTAGCAATGCATCCTGAAACCTACTAAACAGGAAGTTGGTCATCAGAAGCAACAATGTGATTTTGTGCGTTTTGATATCACAAAGCAATAAATGTGCCAATCCAAACATGTTTACGTCTTGAATGCTGAGGTATGCATTAACACGACCTCTGAAGGTAAACTATTTTCATTTCAAATATATATTATATCTTATCCAAAATTAATAGGTTCATTGTGCTGAACACGTCATATGGATGTCAGCGCCACCGCCGCCGCCACCGCCACCGCCACCACCACACAAGAAACCACCAAGAGTTGTTCCAAATAAAGCCATTAATACACTTAAATCTTTGTTATGATTTGGTCTCAAATAAGAAATAACTACACAAGGATATATTAAGTTTCAGCCTAAAAGCAAAAAATATGATGGTCAGTCATGATTTTTAGAAGCGCCATCACAGTGAAACAACTGCCATAAATGAAGAATGGTAAATGTAAACCAGCCCAAGCACCTTTTCGAGTTATATTAAACAGCCACTTTCACAACTACCCTGTTATGTGTCCATCCCTTTTGTTGGCAGTTCACAATCTATCCCGCTGAAGTATATTTTTTTGATTTAGTAATGAATTACATGTGTTACATTTTGTAATATGAATCTGCGGGAAGACAAATTTGAAAGCTTTGATATTCAAATTAAAATATTCATTTCAAAACTGATAATGACTGACATAAACAAATTAAGAAATGATGGAACGAAAATGAATTATAACATCGAAAAGATAAAAGTTGGAGTAAATCAGGGATTCAGATTTAATAAAAGTGTTCAAATTTATTTCCCTCCAGCCTTCACAGACTCAATTCCTTCTTTTAAAGCTTTCAGTACTCTCTCTACATTTTCCTTAGTGGCATTTTCACCCATCAGACCAATACGCCATACCTGGTGATAATAAGAACCAGACTGTTAATAAAGTGTTTTGTATACAACATGCTCAGACGAGGAACGATATATTGCTCTGGCAATTCATCACATGTGCATGTGAAGGTAAACTTGTTGAAAACTACAGATTAAGATAAATAAAACTGACAATAATTAACCATAATACAAATGTACTAGCATTTTGATTATATTTTCTAGCATATATTTTACAGTAATTTAAAAGTCTTATCATAAATCGAATCCTTATTACTAACTGCACACTCAATTAAGAGATCAAACTAAGAGTGCCCAAGAGAAGAAATTGACAAATCTATATAACAAATCACACCTATCCTTAAAGTTATGTATCATAATCAAGTTATGTATCATTCTCCATTGAATGACAACCATGACATAATTGTGTTTCTACGCAAGGTATTAACAAAAGTGTGATGAAATCTTCCTTCAATCAATCTAAATTAACAAGTTGGTAATTTTAATTCTATTTTTGTAAGGTTGTAACATAATAATATTAGTCGTTTTCATGATACACCAACAAAATGCTTAAACAAATGCTGACATCATTTTGAAATAGATACTATCTACACCTACTTTACACATGTACGGTAAGACCTGTCTATTCATGGTTCAATCTACTCATCTCGCATCTAGAAAGATAAATGTACTAACTGGTGGAAACAAAATGAATTAGGTAAATATAAAGTTTAAAAAATCTCAATATGCAGTCACATCACATATTTAAAAGATATCCCCTTGTAGCTCTGTTTCTATTCTTTCCTACCATGATCTTCTTCACTATAGCTTGGATTGTTTACTATAATCTATCCCTTCTTTTAAGGCTTTCAATACTCTGTGTACATTTTCTTTTGTACAGTTCTCTCCCATTAAACCTATGCGCCATACCTGGAAAACACAAAAATAAATGATTTTTGCTTTTAATAAAGAACAGAACAGCTTTTAAAGTTATTTATGCAATAATTCTCAGTATCTGGAATACGAGTGTGTTTGGAAAGCATCAACAGAGAAAATAAACATCAGAGGACAAATTCAAAATGTAATTTCAGTGCCTAAAACACAAACAGAATGACAGACCTAATGTAATAAGGCTGTTTATTATCTTTCTTGCAGTCCTTTACAGCAAAATAAGGTGCATGTTGAATAGTGAGATGTTAAATGTGTTGCCCCTGGAAGTCTGAAACTCGCATGATCACATCCAAATCAAATAAATGCACATACACTATTTGATAGTTGCACAGCACTCAAGATGTCTTCATTGTTTGAATCAATCAAAAGATAGGCGCACTGTATTCAAATACCGAGAATTAAAAGCCCAGAACTGAATATCAGGTAAAACGTGTGTTAAAACTATATTCACTAAATAAAACTTTAAAGAATGATTGAGCAGAAAAGAATGTATTTCCTATACATGTAGGCACCCATAAAACTTAAGTTCGTATTTTAAAATATTGTCATAATAAGTAAAGTAAATGAATAAAATGAAAATATACAAGAGCGGTAAAATGACAAAGGCTAATTTGCATCGAATAAATAATTTGGGATTCATTTGCATAAACTAAACTTTTCACTTACTCTAAAAACCAATGGACATGTTGGATTACTGAAACCACATAATTTTTTTTATTTTGTCTAATGCAATGTATGTATGTATGTACAATGATAACTATGTAGTCAAACTGACAACAAAGTTCACTTCAGTTCACAATCTCCAACTTATTTATTTAACTATTGTTTCTTTTGTTGTATTGAATAAACTCATGGTTTTCAATCAATAACATTAACTTTATTATTTCTAATTTTAAGTTATAAACATGTTAATATAATATTCATACCAATATTAATATAAGGATTATTTGTGTCCAGTGATATCTTTGTAGTCTACAAGTTGCACTGTCCTTTACACAACAATAATGACCACTAACATTATAGTGTACCTATTATGTATGGTCGCTTACCTTTCCTGCACTTGCTCCAAGCCCACCAGAGATTTCAATGGAATACCTGTCGAAACATCAAAATATCAAGGTTTAGAGCTGGTGAATGTGATATTTCAACAATTATGTCCACAACTTGTAATCTTAGTTGTTAATCGTTTACAATGCTCAGCTTTTATATTGTAGTTATTTCATTTCAATTAATTATTTTCAATTTTTACAAAATAAAACTGCATAGTCTTGAAAGCAATGGAAAATTATGTTCATTTGCATGGTTCAACATTAACAAAGAAAATATAGAGAAAAAAAATATATATATATAAATGCACTAACATATTGGAGGGAAAATTATAGCATTCAAATGACTATTGAATCAGTGTAATCGCAACAACTGCTATTGTCAACAATGACCTCTTCACTGTCATGGTCTCATTTGTGACAAAATAGTCCCTCTCAGAATCTAATCAATTCCATAATTGATGTTGGCAAAATTAAAATACAATCAATCAAAATCAATAAGATACATTATCATTTGCAGTATTTTATAAACATGCATACATAATCTGAATGTGCACAAATCTGTATCACAAATAGTATTTATAAAATCTATTTTGGGAAAAATAATAAATACATGTCTTTTAAGCTGACATGAGCTTCTAATCAAATAATGTTACAATTTGAAAAAATGTGTTTTTTTCTCAATTACAATAGAAATATTTGTTACCAAAATGTTTTGAATGTAATTGTGGCGTAATAATAAACTACAAACAAGCAGCCTGTCGGCTGAGATGGCTCCGCTTTTAGCAATGCACACACATTTCAATTAGAGAACTGAAATATCATTAGAAAAGGAACAATATGTATAGTATCAAAGCAAATCAGACTTGCTGCTTTCAACAAGAAATCGAAAATATCACTTTTTACCAAAAATGACAAAAATATTCATTAAAATTAGATAATTGAAGATATCATCCGGAAATGAACAAATATGAGAGAGGTCCACATGGTAGTACCTATATATGCAATATCAAAGCAATTGGACTTGCGGTTTTTAACAAGAAGTCGAAAATATCACTTTTTACCAAAAATGACAAAAATATTCACCAAAATTAGAGAATTGAAGATATCAACATGAAATGAACAAATCTGAGAGAGGTCTACCCAAGGTACATATACACCAAGTATCAAAGCATTCAGACTCGTAGTTTTCAAGAAGACAAAAAAGTAAAACATTGACACGGACGACGAACAATCACTTATATGATAAGCTCCGCTCGACAAAGTCGACAGTGAAGCTAAAAATTGAAGAAAAGAAACAAATACAAACACATGCAACCTATTGGCTGATATGAAATGAGGTAATCTGTTGAGATCTTCCCAAGGTAACTCCTTACAACATATTAAAGCAATCAAGTTTGCCAAATACAAGATGTCTGGTACAAAGGGTACTGTAAAATCTGTATTAGAAGCTGCGGCTTCTATTAAAATGATAGAATGCAACAGAGGGGATGTGGCTTCTATTAGAGCATCTACACATATGAGAAATGGTGAATTTTTGATTCTCAATTATTCAAAAACAATGGGTGCGACTTCTATTAGGGATCCGGCTTCTAATACAGATTTTACTGTAAGTATCAAAACTATATGGCTAACTTTTTCACGAAAGGGTAAATCACTAAAATACTACTATTTTTGGATCATAGAAAAATCTTATTTTATATAACAATTGACTACATATGGTACATATGTAGAATGCACAAGTCTGGTACATGTAGTACAGAGAACAAGTCTCAAAGTTCTCTTTGTGCTCGTCATATTAAAGCGGAGGGGTTGTCGCGAGTGTGTCCTTGAAACTTGAGTTCCAAGTGGCGTGTACAACAGATTGTTTATTTACATCAAAACACGTGTTTCGTGTCATAGTAATATGGCCAAAATAAAAACAGCCGTTATTCGGCCATCTTTGATCTGATTATGAAACACACTGATATGTATGATGTGCCAAATACGAATGAAAATGGTACATAAATTGTGGAAATATAGTAGTAAGGCACAAAAAGTCAGATGGCTGTCAATCGGCCATTCTTGACCAGATTTGAAACA